GCTAAATATATTTAGGGTACTTAAAAAAAAAAGGTGTGCAAAGTTTTCTTTAGAAAGCAGCCACTATCTGAGCAGAAAAGTAAAATCAAGTGTATTCCTATGCACTACCACTTTATTAATGGGTACAGTAGAAAAGCCTGTCCCTTGCCAGCATGCTGCAGAGAAGGACCCTTTCTCTTTGTGTGAAAGCAGTGGTCTCTGCTGAGTCGGACCTATAGCCCTGCAATCAGGGGCGGACTGACCACTTGAATACTCGGGCACTGCCCGGGGTCAGTAGGGGGCCCCATGAAATGCCCCTGGTACCTTTTATAGGCTTTTTTGGGTGTGCTTTGAGTGTGGGCAAGGACACATGGGCCCCATGATCCCCTATTGTCCGGGGGCCCCATGTGTTGTCAGTCCGATCCTGCCTGCAACACAGCTCAGGCTCTCTGATAACTCAAGGGTTTTATCTCTGACTCAGCAGGGGGGACATGTCAAACCTCTTGAGAGAGACCACTGCTTCCACAGAGTGCAAGGGTCCTGGAGGTAGTTGTTATAATTTCCCAGGTCATCAGAAAAAAAACTGCATTGCTTGAAACTGGGTGCACACCTTGCTACTACCTGCCTATAGCCACCATTAGACTTCTAGAGAGTCTACTAGCTTCAAACAGGATAAATCTGACCCACAGGACTTATACAGAGAGTAAAGCAGCAAAGTACAAGTGCTCTCATAATGCAATATAACTAAGCAACTGTCGTTTTCACCCTTACTCCTCATTTGTTGAATCTCAGTGTTGCCGACATCTTGCTGCCTTTTTGCAGCTACATCCTGTCTACATGCACTCTAGTGATGTCTACATGGCATTTCTCAGAGTGAGTTTCCTGATAGCGACAACAGTGCACCATGCCTGTGACATTTGTCCTGAAACGGCCACTTGCAGTCTCTATCAGCAGCACAATCAGGAGATGGGAAAAGAACATTGTCACCCTATAACAGTGATGGCGAACCCGTGGCACGCGTGCCACAGCCGGCACGCCGAGCCTTATCTGTGGGCACGCCAGGAGAATCCAGCGGCGCGCTGTCTTCCCGGCTGTAGTGTGCGTGACAGCCGGGTCCCAAGTGCGCATGCACAAGAAGCAGTGCTGTTTGTGAATGGTAAGGCGGTACCTGGGACACATGACAGATCCCAGAAGCCGGCGGACCAATCACAAAGCGCAGCGCTTCTCGCGCATGCGCACTGGGCATCCGGCTGTCCGACGAGCGCCCACACTACAGAAGCCGGGAAGACAGCGCGCGGCTGGATCGAGGAACAGGTAAGATAAAAAAAAAAACTCTGCGGAAGTAAGAGCGGGTACCTGTCAAATTCAGGTACCCGCTCCCCCTCCCTCCCCAAAGGTCAGCAGTCATCCCTGTGCTGTCCGCAGTCTCTGGTCATCCCTGTGCTGTCCGCAGTCTCTGGTCATCCCTGTGCTGTCCTGTCCGCAGTCTCTGGTCATCCCTGTGCTGTCCGCAGTCTCTGGTCATCCCTGTGCTGTCCGCAGTCTCTGGTCATCCCTGTGCTGTCCGCAGTCTCTGGTCATCTCTGTACTGTCCGCAGTCTCTGGTCATCCCTGTGCTGTCCGCAGTCTCTGGTCATCCCTGTGCTGTCCGCAGTCTCTGGTCATCCCTGTGCTGTCCGCAGTCTCTGGTCATCCCTGTGCTGTCCCGCAGTCTCTGGTCATCCCTGTACTGTGTCCGCAGTCTCTGGTCATCCCTGTACTGTGTCCCAGTCTCTGGTCATCTCCTGTACTGTGTCCTGCAGTCTCTGGTCATCTCCTGTACTGTCCGCAGTCTCTGGTCATCCCTGTACTGTGCAGTCCGCACTGTGTCCGCAGTCTCTGGTCATCCCTGTACTGTGTCCGCAGTCTCTGGTCATCTCCTGTACTGTCCGCAGTCTCTGGTCATCTCCTGTACTGTCCGCAGTCTCTGGTCATCTCTGTGTCCGCAGTGTCCTGTACTGTCCGCAGTCTCTGGTCATCTCCTGTACTGTCCGCAGTCTCTGGTCATCCCTGTACTGTGTCCGCAGTCTCTGGTCATCCCTGTACTGTGTCCGCAGTCTCTGGTCATCCCTGTACTGTCCGCAGTTCTGGTCATCCCTGTCCGCACTCTCTGTCCCCAGTCTCTCTGGTCATCCCTGTACTGTGTCCGCAGTCTCTGGTCATCCCTGTACTGTGTCCGCAGTCTCTGGTCATCTCCTGTACTGTGTCCGCAGTCTCTGGTCATCTCCTGTACTGTGTCCGCAGTCTCTGGTCATCCCCTGTACTGTGTCCGCAGTCTCTGGTCATCTCCTGTACTGTGTCCGCAGTCTCTGGTCATCCCTGTACTGTGTCCGCAGTCTCTGGTCATCCCTGTACTGTTAATTAGTTTGCACTACTGTACGAGTTGTTTTTTTCTAAACCAAAAGCTCGATATTCAGGTTTCATTGCAGTGTTGGCACTTTGAAAGAAATAAGTTGGTTTTGGGTTGCAGTTTGGGCACTCGGGCTCAAAAAGGTTTGCCATCACTGCCCTATAACAAAAAAGTTCCTGAGTAAGAACCTTCATGCAAGGATTACCAGGTACTATTTAAAGTGATTCTAAAGGCAAGACATTTTTACCTTAATGCATTTCCCTGTGATAAGACAAAAAAATGTCCCAGTAGTTGTATCGTTCCCCCCCCCCCCTTCCTATATACTTACCTGAGTCCGGTCTTGATCCAGCACCGTGCCCCTCCGCAGCAGCGTGCTAGTCTCTATCATAGCTCTCACAAGACACAGAGGCAGCAACAGGATACACTGCCGTCAATAAAATCCACTGAGGAGGAGCTGAGTTGCACAGTGTATGGGTCTATGGATGCACAGAGAGGAGCTTGGGAGAGCACCCGCATGTATGCCCCAATAGCACATGGCTTTGCTTTGGGGGCACACAGAAAAGAGGAGAAGCCAACAACGCCATTTGGGAAGTCCAGAAGAGGAGGTTCAGGGCCACTCTATGCAATACCATTAAGAAGAAGGGTCAGCTGCACACTGGATGATAGATGAATATAGCGTGTATTTATTAATCCATAGTATACACAAAACACCAGGACATGAATACAGCACCTGCTGACGCATTCACACAATCTTGGGTTTAATCATATGATTAAGCACAAGATCGTGTGAAATACGTTAACAAGTCCTGTATTCATGTCCTAGTGTTTTGTGTGTCCTATGGATCAGGGGCGGACTGACAACTCATGGGGCCTTTGGGCAATAGGGGATCATGGGGCCTGTGTCCTTGCCCAAACTCAAAAAAGCCTATGAAAAAGGTACCAGGGGCATCTCATGGGGCCCCCTACTGACCCCGGGGCCTCGGGCAGTGCCCGAGTTTCCAAATGGTCAGTCCGCCCCTGGTATGGATCAATAAATACACACTATATTCATCTATCCTCCGGTGTGCTGCTGACTCTTCTACCTATTGCATCGTGTGTGGTGGCGAGCCAGAGCCTGCACCTGTTGTGGATTGATCTGGATTGTATACCTTTGTTCTTTGGTTGCAATACCATTACAAAGCGCAGGTAAATATACCATCTTTATTATTTTAGGTAAAATAACTTGAGTACTTGCATGTAATTGGTGCTGGGCACATTTGCAAGCTTGAAATTACTCTGAAACATTTTTCTTCTAATTAAAATGGAAAGATCATTTTAGTTCATACCCCCCCTATGGTAGTCCTGTCACGTACCTGGCAGAATGGGAAAGCCTTTCAAACTTGTTGATGGGTTTATCCAGTGGGGTAGAGCCTGTGTCATTACCTGGTGAGAAAATGTACACAACTAATGACAGTTAACAGAAAGTAATTAAAATGAATACCAAAAGAAAAAAAAAAAAAATCAGGGAACACAAAGAAGCCCCTAAAGTATAGAAGATAAAAGACTGAAATATGCAGGGGAAAATAAGAAGGTTCACAAGCAATGCCAGCAGTTTTCCATTCCCACTGAAGGGTCATTTGTAGTATTGCATCACATTTAAAGGGATGTTATTCTGCAAGATAACTGCCATATATTGTACATTTTTCTTGTTAAAGGGATGCACTCAATTTCTTGTAAATGTTTAAGTAAGCTATTCGCTTACTTAAAAATGCAGTCTGCTACTCATCCAAACTTTCTGAATTCCAGGACAATGTGCATTGGAAAAAAAAAAGTAGCGATATAATCCAAATACAAATATAAACATTAACCAGATGGAGGGGATTTATCATAAGAAATTTGAACTTTTAAATTGTCCTTGTCACATTTAGTTCTACTCTATGTGACTGTTAATATGGCAGCTAAAATCAAAGTATATTACACATATTGCAATTTTAGTTTGTTTTTGCTAATTTTCTTACTACCTGCTAGTCCAGTCTTTCTCAACCAGGGTTCTGTGGAGCCCGAGGGTTCCTCCAAAGGTTGCTAGGGGTTTCCTGAGAAATTTCTGACTCTCAGATGAGCTACCACTGACACCAATGATCTCTCTTCTTTTCTTGTGTGTAAGGGGTCATTTTTCCCACATACCGCCATTGTAATGGGATCAATAAAAAGTGATCATTAAGTTGACCCTTCTCCTGAAGACCACCAATACCAGTCTTCTGTACTTAATAACAAGGGGACACACAGAATAGGAAGGCACCTCTCCCACCAATCAAAACGCTGAAGGGTGCTACGCTGACCACCAATGTGGGAAAATGTCAGTTTTCACTGTCAGCATTTCCTTTTTGTACATTTTTATTTGAATCTGTTTCATTAGAATTACTGAAAATAATTTTGCTATATAGGACGGCCCTGGGTGTCAAACACACCAAGGGGTTGGCTTTTCCAAAATTTGCTCTTTAAATGCCTAAAGCATTCGCACAGCAGTGAAGTATAACCCTTGAAGCAATAGCTGCATAGGAGCAGGAAGGTAAAAAAGGAAAAGTAAAGGGACAGGTGTGTGCTGCGTACAGGAAGTAGGAGTAAAGCGGAGATCAGAGATACAAAACCCCGCCAATTGAAATGTGACAACTCACCCCAGGGGACCGAGCCCTTACTATGAGGTAGAGGGCTGGGTGGATCGGAGAGAGTTCGTTTGTGTCCAGGGGGTGGGGGAGGAGCTTTCTTCTTGGATAATGTGGAGCTGCCACTAGGGGATTGGGTGCTTAAAGGGAGGGTTGAAGTAGGACCAGATGTAACTGGAAAAGTATACAAAACATCTTACTTATGAAAGTTGAGTAGCAAACCAGGGCCTACATACATACCTACCAACATTCAGTTCATCTGCTGGCTCAGCAAATGAGTGAAAGTAAACCTATGTGGCTAAATATATTGCAGTACTATTGCTATGCCCGTAAAAAGGACCTGACACCTTTACAAAATACATTAGAGAACACGTTTCAATTTTTTTTCCCCTTTTTAAAGAGCTTCTCAAGGCTAAAGTTAAACTATTTTCATACATGAATGAGTGTTCATTACAACCCATGCCCTTTAAAGGTAGATTTCCAACATAACTGACTACCTGACAGAGAACCACCCAACCAATCTCCATGTGATCCAGGAGATCAATTATTAAACACAACCACTGCAGGCAACTTGCTGTCTCCCACATACAGAAAGCCGGATATAGGGGCTGTGTAGACAGGTGGTGTTTTCCAGCCTTTAAAATGTACATCCTTTGCAGGTCAGCAGGTTCCTATTTAAAAGTAGAACTATAGGCAAAACTTTTTGTTTCATTTTGGACAGAGTAAGGGAGAGTTATAACCCCTGTCAGTTTATTTTTTGCCATCTGTTTCCCATTGGGGAGATTTACTTTCACTTCCTGTCCCATAGCCAAAACAGGAAGAGACAGATAATACCAACAAATTAGGGAAATCCTTGGGGACCCCCGGGTCACCAGAACTAGTGTCCCAATTGGAACATTTCCTCTTTATTACATTTCTGGGGAAAACCCAAAATGTGGGGTTTTCTTTACTTTCACTTTCAATGATAATGGTAAACAGGACAAATCGAAAGGGTGAATCTCCCTGACGGGGGGGGGGGGGCTTGGGGGAGACAGCAATACAAAAAACTTAACATACACACCTCTCTTTTTTTTTTTTTACTACGGCATCTCCTAGATTGTAAGCTCCAAGGATCAGGCCCTCCTATCCCTCTTGTATTGAACTGTATTGTTACTGTAATGTCTCCCTCCATAATGTAAAGCGCTGAGCAAACTGTCGGTGCTATAAAAGTCCTGTATAATAATAGGTGTTTTAATCCATCTCCATTCCCTCCAAAACTATCCAAAAAAGGTTTGCCTTTAGTTCAACGTGTAGATGACAGTTCAGAGGTTGTGTTTGGCTTTCTTTGCATTTATTGGGATACCCTAGGCCCTACTGAGATGCTGAATTGTTGGCAAAGCAGGTCAGCCTTTTGCGTCTGAATGCAAACATTTAAACAGCACTGGGTATGCACAAGCCCTTAAAGCAAATCTCGTATTAAAAATGCAAGGTTCACTTATATTTCAGCCTCTCCTTACATGAAATGGGGTGGAATACTCACCCTGCACCTCAGCATTTGGTGTGCTTGCCTAGATGAGGATAATGTCAGTAGGCCTCACCATGTGGTCCTTTAAAATCTAAAGATCTTCGATATGCAAAAATGCACTACTGCAAAGTGCTGGAGCTTCTTCTAAAAAAATGTAGGGCCCCAAGCTTTCTCATGATCCCATGGTTAGACTTAGCAATATCATTGGCACCTAAAGGAATCGACTGGTAGCTAGAGCATAAGTACAGTTGTGCTCAAATGTTTGCATCCCCTGGAATGTTTGGCCTTGGTGCAGACACATGAGGTGACACACACAGGTTAAAATGGCCATTAAAAAAGTTCCCACATCTGTGACTTTTTAAATTTGCAATTTGTGTCTGTGTATAAATAGTCAATGAGTTTGTTAGCTCTCACGTGGATACACTGAGCAGGCTAGATACTGAGCCATTGGGAGCATAAAAGAACTGTAAAAAAACCTGCTTAACAAGGTAATGGAACTGATGGGAAAGGATATGAAAAGATATCCAAATCCTTGAATATGCCAGTCAGTACTGTTCAAACACGTTCAGAACAAGTTCAGGATTTCTTGATACCAAGCCAAGGTCAGGTAGACCAAGAAAGATTGCAGCCACCACTGCCAGAAGAATTGATCAGAATACAAAGATAACCTCAGGAGAAATACAGGCTGCTCTGGAAAAAGACGACGTGGTTGTTTCAAGGTCCACAATACGAAGATACTAGAGCTGTGAAGCATGGTGGTGGCTCATTGATGTTTTAGGGGTGTGTGAGCTCTAAAGGCACGCGGAATCTTGTGAAAGTTGATGGCAAAATGAATGCAGCATATTATCAGAGAATACTGGCAGACAATTTGCATTTTTCTGCATGAAAACTGCGCATGGGAAGCTTTCGGACTTTCTAGCACAACAATGACCCTAAGCACAAGGCCAAGATAACTCTCTAGTGGTTACAGGAGAAAAACGTGAAGGTTCTGGAGTGGTCATCACTGTCTCCTGACCTCATTATAACCAAGCCACACTGGGGAGAACTTAGATGTGCGGTTCATGCAAGACGACCAAAGACTTTGCATGATCTAGGAGGCATTATGCCAGGATGAATGATTAGCTATACCACGTGCAAGAATTCGAGTCCTCATAGACAACTATTACTACAGACTGCACACTGTCATTGATGCTAAAGGGGGCACTACAGAGTATTAAGAACTAAGGGTACACATAATTTTGAACAGGGATCATTTCATTTTGTTTGCTTGTTGCCATGTTTTGTTGTATGATTATGCCATTCTGTTATGACCTACAATTGAATGTGAATCCCATAAAAAAATAAAAGAAATGAGTTTTGCCTGCTCACTCATGTTTTCTTTATAAATGGTACATACTGTATATTACCAATTGTCCAAGGGTATGCAAACTTTTAATCATAACTGTATATTTTCCTATTTTTTTTTTCCCAGAGGAAAAAAAAGGTGCAGTTACACATTAATAGTGCTGCAGGGTTTGCTGGAAAGCATGTATTGCCTGGATTTGCTTCCTAATGTACAGAGCAGAGGGCTGTATGGAGTCTGAACCCTTATGTTTATTTACCTGTGCTATGGAAAAAGCTGGTCGGTAGAAGTTTCTGTAGTTACTGACTAGACATCTAGAACAGAATAGTTCTGTATACAAGCACCTCCACTAACAAGAATCAGAGATGTTGGTTTTAGGTAGTGGCTCAGACTTTACACAGGTCTCCTGCAGAAGATAAACTAATTTAAGAATCAACCTTTTGTTGGAGAAAAGGAACACTATAACACATTCATATATCAGTTTAATTGGGAAGAAAAAGATTGCAGTCTGGGTGTTTTGCTGTTTTCTTAGTTGTTCAAGGAAGGGAAAACGCCTAAAGCACTGCTGTTCTATAGTGAATGGATGAGTATGGCCTCCCTAAATTAGTGAACAGTCTTCCTCTGTAAACAAGTGGAAAAAGTTTAACTCCTGGAAAACCTCTTTAATCAACTAGTATGACAGGTTCATCTGTAAGCCTCAGATTCTACAACGGCAGACATAATGGGCTTGGTTTACTAAGGGCAAAAAGACTGTGCAATTTCCAAGTGCAACTGCTTAAGAGCTTAGTAAAGGAGGTGAAGCTTCACTTTCCAAAGAAAACCCAATCACATGCAAGGCAAAAAAAAAAAAAAACAAAAAACATTTTTGCTTGCACATGATTGGATGATGAAAGTTAGCAGAGCGCTCCTTCATTTACTATGATGCAACTGCACTTGCAGAGTCTATTTGCTTTAAAGCGGAGTTTCAGCCGTTTTTATGTTTATTAAAAGTCAGCAGCTACAAAAACTGTACCTGCTGACTTATAATAAACACACACTTACCTGTCCCAGAGTCCAGCGATGTTATCACCCGTGCCGTCCCTTCTACCCTCCACGACGCTGGCATCTCAACTGTGGGCACCAGGCTATGACAGCTTGCGGCTTCACAGCCTGGTGCCCACTGCGCATGTGTGGGTCACGCTGCGCCTCCTGATTGGTCCGGCAGTTTTCTGGGACCTGTGAAAGTACCCAGGAGACTGCGGGAGGGAGGAGGGGGCTGAACTTCCGGCCCACTTCGCCGCGGCGAACTGAGCCAGAAGTGGGGGCGGGTACCTGTCAAAAACAGGTATCCACTCCCCCCCCCCCCCCCAAATCTGCCAAATATGGCAGTGGAGAGGGGGAGGAGGCAAATAAGTGGAGCTTCCGCTTTTGAGTGGAACTCCACTTTAAGTAAATCAACCCCAAGGTGCTCAAAATCAGGACTACAGACATATTTAAAAACCATTTAATTCAAAAAGGTATTCCTTAAAGGATAAGTTCACGTTTGGGAACATGTTACACGGTCCACTGGAGTGATGGGTATCCACAGCAGACCTCAATGGGTACCATTTTCAGAAAGAAGCTTTGTGATGCCAGGTGGGAAGCAAAGACCAAAAATCTTGGAGAAGCAGGATAACAGAATGACTTATGATTACTAATGGGAAATGATAAGTACACCATGGATAAAAATATGTAGGCTAATGCTGACCTATATTTATCGAGGCACGCTTTGGGGCTGTCACTGGGGCCCTGATATTACTACTTAGCGACCCAGAATAGAAATGCAGAATGACCGTTCAGACTTTACTTGTACCGGGTCACTGTCTTGCTAGGTAGTGAAATCAGGATCCAGATGATAGTTCAGGAGCTTGTACTTGTACCTCTAAACACCAAATCAGCAACAGGAGTTGCCATAATTTTTATCTGCATATGTTCTCCTTTAAAAGAATCTCTAGAGACAGCTATTAAATAATGGCATCATTTAACTTCCACTGCCTTAAATTCAAATTCTGGCTGAATAATAGGCTTTTCTGAGGCTCCAGTGATAATATTTTGCATCGTCATTTGTATAGTTTGGTGGGTAGCCAGCTAGGAATTCCCTACTTGATGATGAAGTCATGAGAATGGCACATGTGCTTGGGAGTACAGTTTAGGTTGATGACCCACCCAGGGGCGGACTGACAACTCATGGGGCCCCTGTGTCCTTGCCCAAACTCAAAAAAGCCTATGAAAAAGGTACCAGGGATATCTCATGGGGCCCCCTACTGACCCCGGGCCCTCGGGCAGTGCCCGAGTTTCCAAATGGTCAGTCCGCCCCTGGACCCACCATATGGAAGCCCCCTAGAAGTAAGGTACACTAGCTGAACTGTGCTATGTATGGTTCCTTTAGGGCCAGTTCACACCACAAAAACGCACTCCAGATGCATTCATGATACGTTTTTACTTACAGTTCACACCACACTCTGTTTCTGTGCAGTTTTTATGCAGTTTGCTATGTTTCAGTACAGTTCTATGCAAAAAAAAAGCATGTTCAACTGACTGCACTGGTGTGAACAGGGCCATTGGAATGCATGGAAAACACTGTGAATGCATTTTTGATGCAGAAAAAAGCGCACTGGATTGCGTCTGGTGTGAACTAGCCCTTAGCCAGTGATGTCATGCAATTGGCTAGTTCTGAGGAGGCTCCCATGAATAAGGTAAGGGTTACTGCTCTTTAAAGCAGAACTCCAAGAAAGTCTAGTAATATTCGTTCAAATATCTTTACCTGTACGTTAACATTCTGCTAGTGCAACTACCTGCTATCTGTTTTAGATTTCACTCCCCGGTGTTCTAGATAACACTTGAAGCTGGGCTGACAGGTAATTGGACTGTACTAGGAGCCAATCATGTGCAGGAAGTGGTTTGCAGGAAGGAGAGGGCACAGTGTAATTTCTTTAAGTGGAAATTTGTCAGAAAATTAAGTCCTGCTAGATGACTTCAGGCTGACCCCCTTTGCAGGTATAGCTACTGTATGTAAAACATTAAAAATAAGTGCCTATACTGTTTAAAATCCAGTAATGCATGGTCTCACCCTGCTCTGCACATGCTCAGTTGCTCTCCATTTTTGGCATTGTGCTGAAAATCAGAGCCACTAGAGGCCGATCTGCTGACAGCCTAAAGATTTACTGCTGCTCAGGTCTCTGGGCTTCAGCAAAATGGCAGCCTCCAGCAAAATGACAGCACACACTAATTTTGGTAGCAGAATTATTAATATGTAATGTAGGTTCCTTTCTAAATATATTTTATTGAGGCTTACAGTTCCACTTTAACAATGAGCCCTGCAAATTCTAAATATCAGGGTAATTCTTAACTAATATGACTTTATATGACACTATCATACATTTTTCAGAGACATCAGTGGTAAAATTTGGCAACATTATTTGTGTAGTTTTTATTATTGAAAACCCATGGTTTGGCTTTGAAATGGCCATTGCACTTGCCCAGACTTAAATCTACCTCACTGCTGGAATCAATCTCCAAGAGATAGGAGGCAGAAATGATACCAGTGTCCAATGATCTGACTTATGAGGTGATGTTGGAATGTTCTTAAATTTTTAGAATATGGTACTAAATGAATAATAAAAAAAAAAAAAATGTTACACCAAATCGGGTTCATGGTTTGCTAAGGTTACTTAGAGACGTCCATGAAAAATTTTGAAGATACCTTTTCCACCTGCATTCCTAGGCGGCAGTGGTGGTGCGTCGGTTATGGGAGACGTTGGTGAGTCTGTGCTGGTGGACATGAAGATCTGGTTAGTGAAGGCTCCGTAAGACAACCTCTGCTTATCCCGCGGAGTAGTAAAGCCTGGCAACAACTTGTCTTGGGGGGAAATACTAGATGAATGGCAAAAGCTTTGCGGCCTTGGCGAACGCTCCTTCTTGATCGGACTAGGCTTTTGGGATGAAGAAGAAAAAACAGAACAACTAGTTAAACACTTGAGATTCTATTACTGACCTCTGTAAAATATTGCCAGATAACAGTGGTTTTCCCAAGTTTCATGGAGCCAAGGTGATCAGGTCTACTCAACATTCATTACAAAGTTGGAGGTTTCACAGATCTGGTGGTTGTATAGATGACATATACACTCACTGGCCAATTTATTTAGGTACACCTTGCTAGTATCGGGTTGGACCTCTTTTGCCTTCAGAACAATTCTTCAAGATATAGATTCAAAAAGGTGTTAGAGACATTCCCCAGAGATTGTGGTCCATATTGACATGAGTTACTGTTGCCTCTTCTATCATCTCGAACCAGTCTGCCCATTCTCCTCTGACACCAACAAGGCATTTTCCGTCCACACAACTGCTGCTCACTGGATATTTTCTCTTTTTTGGACCATTCTTTGTAAACCCTAGAGATGTTTGTGCATGAAAATCCCAGTAGATCAGCAGTTTTTGAAATACTCAGACCAGCCCCTCTGGCACAAAAAACTATGCCACGTTCAAAGCCACTTAAATCCCCTTTCTTCCCCATTCTGATGCTTGGTTTGAACTTCAACAAGTCATCTTCACTATGTCTAAATGCCTAAATTTGAGTTCCTGCCATGTGATTGGCTGATTGGCAATTTGTGTTACCAAGCAATTGAACAGGTGTATCTAATAAAAGTGGCCAGTGAGTGTACATTCTAATGTGATCCAGATATAACCCTTTCACCATCTTCCAAGGTGGCTGTTTGGGCTTAGACTGCCCATGAATGCCAGTTTTGTCATATATATGGCATTTACCTGAAGAAAAAGAGCCGATGCCGCCTATCAGTGCCGTCTAACAGTGCCCGTCAGTGCCCCCTAACGGTGTCGCCTATCATTGCCATATATGAGTGCTGCCTTTCAGTGCCCATCAGTGATGCTAGTCACTGTCCACCAGTGATGCCTGTCAATGCCCATCAGTGCCACCTACCAGTGCCTCCCCATCAGTGCAGCCTATCAGTGCCCCCCCATCAGTGCAGCCTATCAGTGCCCCCCCATCAGTGCAGCCTATCAGTGCCCCCCCATCAGTGCAGCCTATCAGTGCCCATCAGTGCAGCCTATCAGTGCCCATCAGTGCAGCCTCATTATCGCACATCAGTGCAGCCTCATTATCGCACATAAGTGAAGGAGAAAAACTACTCACTTACAAAGTTTTATAACATTAACTAAGAAAAAAACCTTTTTTTTTTCAAAATTTTCAGTTGTTTTTGGTTTGTTTAGCAAAAAAATAAAAACCCAGTGGTGATTAAATACCACCAAAAGAAAGCTCTATCTGTCTAAAAAAAAAAAAAGATAAATATTTCTTATGAGTACAGTGTTGCATGACCGCGCAATTGTCATTCAATCCTGTAGGCAGTGTGACAGCGCTGAAAGCTGAAAATTGGCCTGGACAGGAAGGGGGTGAAAGTGCCCGGTAGGCAAGTGCTTAAAGGGGTCAGTCTAAAATGCTCGTTGTTTCAAAGAGTCTTGGGAATTACAGAAGTGAGATGTCTAACTCACATATTAGTTTTCATATCTCACATTACAGAGTCTGTAGGAGAGAGGATAATATCAGTGGTATGTGGATGGCTAAATTCACCAACATTCACCCATATTTGAAATGTGCTTTTTGAGTGGACTGATCCTTCAGCCTTATAGTGGTGGGAACAATTATTTCTGTGACGGCAATTTTCTAGCTGTTGTGAGATTAGACGGCATTATTCCTTGTCACAGGCACAGCTCCTTAATCATTAATTAAAAATAGTCACCTGAATAAACTGGCAGATCCGTTCATGTTAGACAGACACCTGAACTTGTCAATCTCACCTTGTCATCTAAATCATCGTCACTCTCGTCAATTTCTTCTAGACGCAGGTTCCAGTCATATTCTACATGGGTGTGTGGATTCAGCTTACCAGTCACGGCTTGGGAGAGCTGCAAAAAAATAAACAAATAATGACATTTGTCCCTTTAGGTCGGGTGTCGGCAAACCGCGGCTCCGGAGCCGCATGCGGCTCTTTTTCATCTTTGCTGCGGCTCCGGAGCACACTGCCCACCAGGTGACAGGCAATAGGGTTGCCGTAGCTGCAGTGGTCAGCAAGCCGCGTCTCTACACATTTTAATGCGGCTCTTCTGTGTGCCGGGCGCCCGCTCCCCTCCCTCCTCCAAACATTGGCTGTCAGGATGTAGGCGGGGCAGCGTGACGAACTCCTCTCCTCTCACAGTCCGCCCTGAAGACCAGAACGGCGCGGGAACACGACGAGAGGAACGCGCGGAGCAAAGGTAAGTGAATTGACACAGGGGGGACTTAATATGGGGGATGAATTAATATGGGGAATGAATTACTATATGGGGGGATGAATTACTATATGGGGGATGAATTAATATGGGGGGGATGAATTACTATAGGGGGGATGAATTACTATAGGGGGATGAATTACTATAGGGGGGATGAATTACTATATGGGGGATGAATTACTATATGGGGGATGAATTACTATATGGGGGATGAATTAATATGGGGAATGAATTACTATAGGGGGGATGAATTACTATAGGGGGGATGAATTACTATAGGGGGGATGAATTACTATAGGGGGGATGAATTACTATATGGGGGATGAATTACTATACGGGGGATGAATTACTATACGGGGGATGAATTACTATACGGGGGATGAATTACTATGGGGGATGAATTACTATGGGGGATGAATTACTATATGGGGGATGAATTACTATGGGGGATGAATTACTATATGGGGGATGAATTACTATGGGGGATGAATTACTATATGGGGGATGAATTACTATATGGGGGATGAATTACTATGGGGGATGAATTACTATATGGGGGGAGATGAATTACTATATGGGGGATGAATTACTATATGGGGGATTAATTACTATATGGGGGATGTATTTTCAGTTTTAAAAATGTGGCTGTCAAAATAAATTTCAATCTTGGTTTTGGCGAGATTTGGCTCAGTTGAAAAAAAAGGTTGCCCACCACTGACCTAAGGCTATGATTGTGATTATGAAGATACACTGTGGCCCTGATTAACCCTTTGCTTACTGGGCCCTTAAACCCCCTTCATGACCAGAGCGCTTTTTGCAATATATGCAGTGTCGGATTTGTTATAAATGTTGCAATGGTTTTGCGGCTCCCAGTCTTTTTTTTCCCCCCTCGGAAACGGGTCCAAGTGGCTCTTTATGTCTTAAAGGTTGCAGACCCCTGCTTTAGGTGAATCCATTAAATATACCTCCTCTGTGCAACCTGCACACTAACCTAGTTACCTTCATCCCCGCTCCTGAGTTCTTCACTTTGGCACTGCCTGTCTTGCTTAGCCTTTGCGACAAAAAACATCCCAAAACCAAATAATGTGAAGGGTATGTATCTGAATATTATGATGTCTGCACTTTCATGGGTTAGATTTTACATGTTTTTTCCTTGCAGCTGATCTCTATCTTTACTGTCACTTTAACTAGTTCATTTTGGCTAGTGGTGCACCGAAATGAAAATTCTGGTGCCGAAACCGAATCAAAAATTCAAAATGCACTTGGCCGAAAACCGAAACAGAAATGTGCAGTTTTTAAAAATTAATAAATATTTTTTTGGAAAAAAATACACTTTGATTAAAAAAAAAACAAAAATAAACCCCAATAAATACCCCAATTTTTTTGTAAAATATGAAAGAGGATGTTACAGCGAGTAAATAGATACCAAACATGTCACGCTTAAAATTGTGCATGCTCGTGGAATGGCATGAAACTGCGGTACTTAAAAATCTCCATGGGGATGCTTTAAAAATGTCTACAGGTTAGTAGTGTAAAGTTACAGAGGAGGTCTAATGTAAGAATTATTGCTCTTGCTCTGACATTCATGGAGATGCCTCACATGTGTGGTTTAAACACCTTTTACATATGTGGGCATGGCCTACGTATCTGTTCACCACTACGTGCGACGGGGGGACAGGGACACTTTAAACTTTTTTTAAAAATGTATTAAATGTTTTTTTGTTAATTTTTGGCACTATCCCTTTAAAAAAAAATGTAATAACTTTTATTCTGATCACAAGAAATGCATGCATCCCTTGTGCTAGAAATAATTAGTGACAGGTCCTCTTTATGGAGAGTTATGGGGTCAATAAGACCCCACATCTCTCCTCCGCAATGTAAAGCATTGGATCAAAAAAAAAAAAAAAAGCATTGATCTAGTGCTTTAAAAAACAAAACATGGCCGGGACGGTAGTGACATCGCTCCGGTCCTCCAAGGGCATAGAGATGAGTGGAGGCCATCTTTCCTTTACTCATCTCTATGCCCAGTGCTGGGATCATTTGCTGGTTTCTCAGGTAAGGATGAGAACTACAAAACGTTTCGGACACTGAAATTTCGGTACATCCCTAATTCCGGCCAAGCTGGTCCAAAAGAACGGTTTCCTACACTAATGGGTGTGCATGCTAGGCATGCTGTATAATCTGTATATAGCCTTAGCTACATACAATATACAGCACTGTGCCCCGGCTGTAGGATGCAAATTTCTAAGCTCCACCCTTCTGCTACCACATCACTGGCTTTGATTGACAGCAGCAGGAGTCAATGGCTTCTGCTGCCTCAGCAAAGCCTGTGAGACCTGAACTTGAGGGGACAGAAGAGCTGCACACGTGCACAGCACTGGATCAAATGAGGGCTTGGATAAGTATAATGGGGGGTGAGGGGGGAGTTATTGATGCCTATAAACAATTTTTTAACTTAATGCAAGAGATGTTTAGGCTTTATAACTAGTTTAATTCAACAAATGTGCAAGAAAAAAAAAAACATGGTTTAAAGTATGTGCAGTCATGCCACGTACTGGAACAGACAGAAGAACAGATCGATAGCGAATAATGATTGCTGCTAACCGGTACCAGTTTTCATTAGTATACGAATACGGTCAGGATGCAGTCACTCACCAGCTCCTCACACTGGATTGCTTTTAATCTCTTTGCAGTGTCGAAAGCAGTCTCCCCCAGGTGGTTTACTACAAGAGAAAAGCATGTAATTGCTACAACATCATTCTTTCTAAAACACAGTCAGTAAATTAGAACTCATATAAACAAGTAAAAGCACATAGAAGAAAAGCATATCCCTCATAAGCATGACTAATGATCATATACTAAGTGACACCATTAATGATTCCAACAGTCCATGAAGTGGACACTCAGTCACTACAAAATGAATGAGTCCTATTTGGGAAACTGCATTAAACTACGGTAATAGTCATAATATCCTAGATGTAAGCTCCAAGGATCAGGCCCTCCTATCCCTCTTGTATTGAACCTGTATTGTTACTGTATTGTCTCCCACTATAATGTAAAGCGCTGCAAACTGAGCTAATAAATCTGTATAATAATAATAAAAAAAAATACTATTTTATATTGTTATTAATTATTAATATTTGTAGTTAATAATTAATATAAATCCCTAATATAGAATTTACAGTAATTATAAAACCTGCACTGTAACAATGATGGGAGAATAAAGTTTCTATAGGCAACACAGACATTTCTTTTAAAAACTATTTGTGTTTAAAGATTAAATCCAATCAGGTTTTTTTTTGGCAACTGATTCTTTCCTTCCTGTCACACAGAAACAAGAGGAAGTGAGATGAAAACTCTCCAAAGAGGGGAACAATTGTCACCAGGACAGTAAGACACAGATGGCCCTAAAAACCTTAAAGCGGAGTTCCACTTTAAAAAAAAAAAAGAAAGTCAGCAGCTACAAAAACTGTAGCTGCTGACTTTTAAAATACAACCACTTACCTGTCCCTCGGTCCAGCGTTGTACTCACCACTACTGGTTTCACCGGCCGTCTTCTCTCCCCTGGTGCCGGCATCTTCAGTGTGGGCATCCGATTGTGAAAGCTTTCGGCTTCACAGCCGGGTGCCCACTGCGCATGCGCGAGAATCGCTGCACTTTGTGAATGGCCCTGTAGTCTTCTGGTACCTGTCACGTGTCCCAGAAGACTACAGGGAGGGATGGGGGGGGGGGGGGGACAACTTCCGCTTCCGATCGCCTAGGTGATTGCAGCAGAAGTGGGAGCGGGTACCTGTCAAATTCGGGTACCCTCTCCCCAAAGGTGCCAATCCTTAATGGGGAGCGGGGGACGAAGGCTTAGAGCAGAACTTCCTTTTTGGGTGGAGCTCCGCTTTAAAGTGGAACTGAACTCTAACGGATAGGGTTTTTATGACAGAAAAGACCCACTCTATTTGTGTATTCTATCCAATGCTTCTCCTTGCCTGTCGGCAGTAATGTACACTGAGCCACATGCGCACAGCTCAGCATACATTTATGGCAACCCCTCTACGCTGTGTTCACCTGACTCATGTGCGCCTGTGCAGGAGTGAAGTCGTTGCGGTCTGACCATTCAAGCAACCAAACCTGGAAGGAAGACCAGAAGACGATGGAAGCACCCATAAAAACAGCAGGAGCATTGACAACACAGCGCTGGAGGGCATCATTTGACAGGTAAGTCTGTCATAATGTGTGATTATGCCGTTCATACTGGCACATTATGGAATAAAGCTTCAGGGGGCCCATTTCATTAAAATAAAATAACATTGTTTAATTCTGTTTTAAAGGTTCTAGCTCCTCCTGACGTAAGGGTTTCTGATGTCCTCTCTAACCCCATTGGAGAGATTTTTCATTGTTTCCTATCACTTGATAAAAAGAAAAAAAAAAAAAAAAGTATAAACATCTGCAGACAAATGTAAAAGTTCTCAGATTCCAGCACATACCTGCAGTGTTTTCAGTGTCCCTCCTCTGTCAGAATGCCAGTAAGCTCTGTTTAGGCAAGGTTCCCATACTTCTTGATAGTTTGCTCACTTTCTCCCACCCTACGATGCACTTCTACCAGGGCTGCTGTTAGAAACCACAGGGCCCCATACAGCCAACATGACAGGGCCCCCCTCCCCAGACAAAAGCACAGTTTACTATGCTTCAGTTATGAATGAACACATCGATTTGGTACAGATCACTCACTGCATTCATTCAGGAAAGGAAAGGGCTGGTAAATGTGACATATTTACCGATCATTCTCCATCCTGAAGGATCCTATTGTGTGCTTGCAGCTGCCGGTGAGGAGGGAACCTAGCAGCACTGCAGGGGTGGGGGCACACAGGGGGGCCAGGGCAGCAGGGGAAAACGTATTGTGCACAGGGAGGGTGATGGGGTCTCAATTACTGGAACCGATCCTCTGTATAGCTCTCTCTGCAGCAGCTGGAAGCCAGTGGGAGGGAGAGGATAAGAAGCCAGCTTTCAGCTGCTGCAGAGAGAGATATACAGGGGATCGGTTCCAGTAACTGCCTCCCCCCCCCCCGTCCACCACCAAGCCGATCACCCTCCCGGCCCACATCCGTTTAACACAGCTGCCTGGGCCCTCTTGCTGGCCAGGGCCCCGTATAGGAGGACTGGTGGTACCCCCTTATCCACAGCCCTGACTTCTACTGGTCTATTACTATGACGGGTTGCCTCACTGGACTATTGGCGGCGTCCACCCTGATCTCTCCCCTTCCTGTGTGCTAATCTAAGTACCTTCTCGATCACTAATCAGATTACAGAACATCATAAACTTCAATAGGATTTCAACGTTCACTTGGATGAAGGTAGATCAGTATGTACAAGTATTTATTACCCTGTCTGAACTGGAAAATAACTTCATGGCTCACAGCGGAATACATAAGCGGCCTAAATAAAAATTTTTTTTTATAAATTTGCCGGGAGCAGGTCAGTGCTCCTAACTGAAAGAAAACAACGAGAAGTCAGCACTCACCCAGGTCAATAGTTGGTTTTCCCCTCAGAAGCAGTTTCAAACATTCAGGCTTATTATAAATACAGCAGTAGTGTAGCGCCGTGTTGCCTTTACTGTTCGGCTTATCTAAGTTTCCACTATAGACAGAAAAATGTAGAAAAAGCAATAACACAATTAACATATCATGTATATGAAAATTCAGCCGTGCTTAACCACTTTTCTACCAGTGTATTTTTTATATTGCATCGTATTAACACAACTGTATTTTAAACACATATTTTCAGGTAAAAAAAATTCACGAACGTGAAATCTAATGCACACGAGCACATTATATTACACAATTTTATGGTAAAATATAAAAGAAAGGCTGTGTCAAGTAAATATATAGCAAACATGTCATGACTTAAAACTCTGCATGCCTGTGAAATGGTGGAAAAATGAGACACACAAAATTGTCCAAAGGTGACGCTATAAATCTATAACATGTTGTTAATTCAAAGTAAGCCTAGGTAAGCCACTATTGCTACTGCATAATCATGTGTATTACAGTGAGTTTTTATAACATGTTTTTTGTGCTTTTTACATGCGCTTTTGATTATTTTTTTTTTGGTAGGAGGAAGAAAAACTGGTTGTTAAACACAAAACTGTGCCAAAAACACACCAAAAATGCATGTAATGCATTTTTCATGTGCTTTCCATTGGTGTCTGCTTTGCTACTTCATCCAGAATGCAGGCACCCTACAGCAGCCCATAGATTATGCAATTTTCATTCTAACACAGGTGGAAGGAAAGAAAATTGATCGATTCCCCCACCAACACAGTCAGTGTTGACAAGGGAATCCCTCCCACAGTGCTATTGTGTTCTGCCGGCGGGAGCCTTCCCCACTGGCAGAACACAATGATTGCTGCTGGTGGCTACAGTCATCACATGAAAATAATCAGGCTGGTTGTACTGAAGTGGATCCATATCAGTACAACCAGCTTGCCCATAGATAGATCGAATCTCCGCTGATCCCTACTGAACTGGCCAAGATTCGATCCATCTAAATAGGGGATATTATTATCCCCAGCAACCATGGAGGGAAGGCAGGAGATGGAAAGAACCCTATTGCATCACACAACAAGGCTATGCCCAAAGGGGGGGGGGGCTACCATTAACAGCCCTGGCCCAGTTATCACCCCCCCCCTCCAATTATGTCCAACAAATTCCAGGCCAAAAAGGAGGAGGAGGTGTAGAGAGTAGAGGAGGGAGAAAAAAGAAGGAAAAAAGAATGAGGTATCTTTAATCTTACCAACATTGTTTTTACCCATGAAGAATTGGCTCTACTAAATGAAGGATTAAAGTTTGCTCCAAGTAAAACCTTGACAAATTTAAGGCATTCATTGATGTTGAACAGTTTGCCAGAAAGCTCAATATTAAAAAATTATTTTGTAGAAAATTTTCATAAGGCAGAACAGATTACCAGACAGACAGACCACACACACGTCTCAAAAATATATCTACATTTAATCCCAAAACCTCCACTTATCAATACATCTCTAAAAATGTGGTGCAGGAAGATATTTCCAACATTACTTGTAATAGAGCAAAAACACATTCTAGGAATGTATGGGAGGAACTCAAATCACTAAAAAGGGACAAAGACATTGTAATTAGACCCGCCGATAAGGGGGGGCGGTGTAGTGATTTTATCCAAAGAGCAGTATGAGAAAGATGCAGAGGCTATTACAGGACACCAGTACATATAAAAAACTAATAGGAGACCCTACTAACAAACTGAAGGGCAAATTAACAAAACAAGGTAAGAAATTGACCAGACACAGGATTATAAATAAAAAAAAGAGGCCAAATACCAATTACCCAAAGCCCCTAGGATACCAGTCATATATCAGGTCCCTAAAATACATAAAAATTCCCTCAACCCACCAGGTAGACCTATAATCTGTGGTATCAACTCACTTTCCTCCAGAATGGGAGAATATATTGACTGTTTCCTCTAACCCATGAAAGGCAAGGCATACCTTAAAGACAGCAGGGTTCTCATTAATTTACTAAGGGGCATCACTATAACAACATACCTTGCTGGTTACAGTGGATGTAGGCTCCATGTACACAAATATAAAACAACTGGATCCACTCGAAGCCACTAAATGGGCACTCCATAAATATTCTAACCTAACATTTCCCAAGAAAGAATTTATACTAGAGGTATTGGAGATGGCTATGGCCAACAACTACTTCTGGTATAATGGAGAATTTTTCAGCCCAATTAAGGGAGTAGCTATGGGAGCCAGGTATGCCCCGAGTGTCGCTAATATCTTCAACAATAAATGGGACATTTTCCATAGAGAAATACCCCAATTAAAAATGTACAAGAGGTACATTGACGATATATTCATCATCTGGGAGAGGGGACTACGGGAATTGTTTTTATAACGCTCTATGGATAACAATACATATGGTATCAAATTTACAACTAACATTCACCCAGTTCTTAGCTCCGGATATTCTCAAAAACGGTAAAAACCTAGATGCCAGAAAATATTTTAAAACAACTGACAAAAACGGGTATCTCTCTAAAAGTTGTCATCATCCGAAATGGTTGAAAGCAATCCCCAAACGACAACTTACGAGGATAAGGAGAAATTGTAGAAGGGAAGACTTTGAAGAGCAATCAGAAAAATTTACAGAAATATATCTGGAGAATGGATGTAAAAAAGCAGAGCTTGAAAAAACAAAAGATAAATTTACGAATATGAACAAAGATGCTTTACTGTTACCTAAGCCCAATAAAGTTTCTGGAGAAGAGTTGGCATTTATTACTGGAAAAAAGTATAGGTAGAAATTGGCCCATTCTACTGAGGGATCACACTTTGAGACAAATTCTTCCCCAAAGATAAACATTCATCTACAAAAAGGCTTTGGGCCTGAACTCAGCGGCCAGACTCATCCACCTCACCAGCCGCTCCACCTCTGCCACCGCTCTGCCTCTCCCTCCACTGGCTCCCCATCGCATTAAATTCAAACTGCTCACTCTGACCTATAAGGCCATTCACAACACTGCCCCTAACTACCTCACCGACCTGATTCCCAGGTACCACCCTACCCGTACCCTTCGCTCTTCACAGGACCTCCTTCTATCTTGCTCCCTGGTCTCCTCCTCCCACGCACGACTGCAAGACTTCTCCAGGTCCTCCCCCATCCTCTGGAACTCACTATCCCAATCCATCAGACTGTCACCTTCTCTCCTCACCTTCAGGCGCTCCCTGAAAACCCACCTCTTCAGGGAAGCCTACCCCACCCTCACCTAACAGCCGCTGCCCTTCCCTCCTCCTACCACTCCATCCCCCACAGCCATTTCCTCCTGTACCACTACCCCCTCCCTCCTAGATTGTAAGCTCGAAAGAGTAGGGCCCTCTAACCCCTTGTGTGCTGTTTCTTGTTACTGTAATGTTTTATGTATTGTCCCCCCCTCTATTGTACAGCACTGAGCAAACCCTTTGGTGCTATATAAACTCGATATAATAATAATAATAATAATTACTGGTTTTAACCTACAATATAAGGAACTGGAAAAAAGTATAGGTAGAAATTGGCCCATTCTACTGAGGGATCACACTTTGAGACAAATTCTTCCCCAAAGATAAACATTCATCTACAAAAAGGCTTTGGGTCTGAGGCATATTATTTCCATGAACGTGATAGAACCCCCTAGGAGGCCTCCAACGTTCTTGGATGCTACAGGTTCCTACAAATGCGGGAGATGCAAAGCATGTAGGACTATTAAAAATAAGAGCAAAAGGATTGACGGTTTCACATAAAATGTGACGGGCGAGAAGTTTGCCATCAAGAAGCTTATCATGTGTGACTCTAGATACGTCACCTATTTGCTCACATGCCCATGTAATCTGAAATACATAGGTAGAACCACTAGGGAATTCTCTACCCATATAGGAGAACATGTTACAAATATCATGAATGGTTACAATCAACACACTGTGTCTAACCACTTTCGATTGAAACATAATAATGACCCTAGCCTTTTACAGTTCTGGGGAATAGATAAAGTTTCCAAACACTGGAGGGGCACTGATATGACTATAAAAGTCTCACAGATGGAAACTCAGTGGACCCATAGATTGCAAACATTGGATCCAAAGGGATTAAACCAAGATATAGACCTCAACTGTTTCCTTACTGATTACTAGAGATAACCCCCTTGTTGCGTAAGGCAATTTCCAGTTGATTGTGATCCACTTTGGAGGGTCCCAGTCAATGTTTATGTACATTTGTATGCCAAATCCTGCAACTCAGGAAGTTAGATTGGCACAAGAATAGGTATTCCATCCTAAAAAGAGGACAGCATTCCACTTTGGCATAAGAATAGGTATTCCATCCTAAAAAGAGTACAACATTCCACTCTTAAGATAGTTTTGAATATTAGATCCACCTTTAATTCTCATTGTTGCAATGGTGGAATTTTTGTAATATACTCATATGCACTTGAATGTTGGGGATGGGTCACCCAGACATTCTAATTTCATATACTACTAATTGTGCATTCATATGTGGTTTATCTGGCATATGATTGCTTTACCATGGGTTTGCGCTACATGTATGAAACCCTACCAGGGTTTAATATTTTAATTTTTTTTTGTATCTTTATGTATTTAGGGTTTTAAATATACAGTCAGGTCCATAAATATTGGGACATCGACACAATTCTAACATTTTTGGCTCTATACACCACCACCATGGATTTGAAATGAAACGAACAAGATGTGCTTTAACTGCAGACTGTCAGCTTTAATTTGAGGGTATTTACATCCAAATCAGGTGAACGGTGTAGGAATTACAACAGTTTGCATATGTGCCTCCCACTTGTTTAGGGACCAAAAGTAATGGGACAATTGGCTTCTCAGCTGTTCTATGGCCAGGTGTGTGTTATTCCCTCATTATCCCAATTACAATGAGCAGATAAAAGGTCCAGAGTTCATTTCAAGTGTGCTATTTGCATTTGGAATCTGTTGCTGTCAACTCTCAAGATGAGATTCAAAGAGCTGTCACTATCAGTGAAGCAAGCCATCATTAGGCTGAAAAAATAAAACAAATCCATCAGAGAGATAGCAAAAACATTAGGCGTGGCCAAAACAACTGTTTGGAACATAAAACTTAAAACTTAAAAAGAAGGAATGCACCGGTGAGCTCAGCAACATCAAAAGACCCGGAAGACCACAGAAAACAACTGTGGTGGATGACCGAAGAATTCTTTCCCTGGTGAAGAAAACACCCTTCACAACAGTTGGCCAGATCAAGAACACTCTCCAGGAGGTAGGTGTATGTGTGTCAAAGTCAACAATCAAGAGAAGACTTCAGCAGAGTGAATACAGAGGGTTCACCACAAGATATAAACCATTGGTGAACTCAAAAACAGGAAGGCCAGATTAGAGTTTGCCGAACAACATCTAAAAAAAACCTTCATAGTTCTGGAACAACATCCTATGGACAGATGAGACCAAGATCAACTTGTACCAGAGTGATGGGAAGAGAAGAGTATGGAGAAGGAAAGGAACTGCTCTCATGATCCTAAGCATACCACCTCATCAGTGAAGCATGGTGGTGGTAGTGTCATGGCGTGGGCATGTATGGCTGCCAATGGAACTGGTTCTCTTGTATTTATTGATGATGTGACTGCTGACAAAAGCAGCAGGATGAATTCTGAAGTGTTTCGGGCAATATTATCTGCTCATATTCAGCCAAATGCTTCAGAACTCATTGGACGCCGCTTCACAGTGCAGATGGACAATGACCCAAAGCATACTGCAAAAGCAACCAAAGAGTTTTTTAAGGGAAAGAAGTGGAATGTTATGCAATGGCCAAGTCAATCACCTGACCTGAATCCGATTGAGCATGCATTTCACTTGCTGAAGACAAAACTGAAGGGAAAATGCTCCAAGAACAAGCAGGAACTGAAGACAGTTGCAGTAGAGGCCTGGCAGAGCATCACCAGGGATGAAACCCAGTGTCTGGTGATGTCTATGCGTTCCAGACTTCAGGCTGTAATTGACTGCAAAGGATTTGCAACCAAGTATTAAAAAGTGAAAGTTTGATTTCTGATTATTATTCTGTCCCATTACTTTTGAGCCCTTAACAAGTGGAAGGCACATATGCAAACTGTTGTAATTCCTACACCTTTCACCTGATTTGGATGTAAATACCCTCAAATTAAAGCTGACAGTCTGCAGTTAAAGCACATCTTGTTCGTTTCATTTCAAATCCACTGTGGTGGTGTATAGAGCCAAAAAAGTTAGAATTGTGTTGATGTCCCAATATTTATGGACCTGACTGTATATGTATAAACGTATGTAGAAGCATGATCCTGTCACTTCCGGGTTTCCATGACGTCAAACTGGTCCAGCGAAAGCGAGGCTTGGAGCGCACGCCTCCCATTTTTGGGGTTTTACAGGCTATACAAACTGGTGCTGGTCTTTTGGGCACCTTTACATGTGAGTTCATAGTTATTTGTTCATTTTTTTATGCAAATAGTTCAGTAAATACTACATTTAATTCATTTGATTTATTTGAGCGGTGTGGAGCATTACCTTCATGATAAGGAGATCCTGGTACATAGGACCCTGTTACCACTACAATATTTTGGAATCTTGTGAATGTTCTATTGGGGCAACACAAAAGATGGGCTGTTAACCGGGACAGATATCCCAGGAGAGCTGCAGCTGGTCTTCCATTCCAATATAACAAATGCGCTGCTTGACCACCTTAATTTGGGTCAATTAACTTTGGCGAGTGTGAAATTCATTTATTATGTCTGCATGTGGTGAAAACGTATACTTTGTTGGCATACAGCAACGTACTTCTATGGGGCTGTCACTACATTTTATGATTGTTTTAGCCCTCATGCACACTTGGAAGTTTTTACAGCGGCTGTTTTTGGCTTTTGACGTTTTTTTCTACAGCCAGTAAACCCCCCAGCATGTTATCCTATGTGTCCATACACACACAGACTGTAATCAGCATTTTTTTGGCTGGGACGTTTTTTCTGGCTGTAAAAAGGCTCTAACACTGAAAAACTTGGTAAAAAGTGGTAAAATGCCGCAAACTGGCGTTTTTGGACTTTTTTTGACTGAAAAAATTTTTTTTGGGGAGGTAAAAAACGCCAAAGTGGAAAAAAACACAGGAAATGGCTGTTAATCACGGCAAAATGCCACTAAACGCTAATGCAAAACACTAAAAAAAAAAGCCGAAAAACCCATGTTTTTAATGTGACTTTACACAGCAAATGTTACCAGCGTTATCAAAACGTTCCGTGTGCATGGGCTTATTATCACTTATTTATTATTTATTTCAGGTACTTATATAACGCCATCAATTTACACAGCACTTTACATATATATTGCACATTCATATCAGTCCCTAACCCTCAAGGGGTGTACAATCTAAGTCCCTAACTCACATTCATACATACACATACTATGGACAATTTAGACAGGATCCACTTAATCTACCAGCATGTCTTTGGAGTGTGGGAGGAAACCGGAGTACCCGGAGGAAACCCACACAGGCACAGGCAGGGGCGGACATGACAAACTCCATGGGGCCCCCGGGCTAGGGATTCCATGGGGACCCCTGTACCCAAACTCAAAAAAGACTACAAAAAAGGTAAAGACAAATACATCTTTTTGGCATTTAAACAGAACCCTGGCCCTTGGGCAGTGCCCGAGTTTCCAAATGGTTAGGCCAACCTGGGCACAGGGAGAACATGCAAACTCCAGGCAGGTGGTGCCATGGTTAAGATTCAACCAATTGACCCTGCATACAAAATGCAGGCGGAAGTGGTAACCATTTAGCCACTGTGCTGCCCATGTCACTTATTCAAATATTGGATGTATATTATTGGTTGGATGCTATAGGAATTATGCATTCTCACATTTGATTTGTTAATAATATCTGGTATTAGATGTAGAGAAATGGTTTGCTTTTGCATTTTCGATTGTGTTGCACGGTTGGTATAGCGCCTACCTATTCACCGTTTATACATCTATAGCCAGCTTTAGACAAGAAGTGTATTACTGGCTAGATCACCAGATGGAGAAAAAAAAAAAGAAAAAATAATTAATTCAGCTATTACATCTAAAGGAGTGGTAAGCTGCAATATATTCCATTTTTTGTTTAGTGTTGCTTTAAAACTAACCTGAACTCTAGCAATGTTAATTTTACCTTTGTACAGTAATACCCTGAAAAATGTTGTCTTGAATTCCCTCTTAAACATAGCAGTGCACTTCCTGTAGACTCAGAACTGTAGATCTGCAGAGGGAGGTTAGATGTTGCATTGCTGCCTCTGACTATTAATCTCACTAGATTTGGGGGTTATTGTCACGGATGTGGTTTTTTTGGAACACATGCCAAATGCAGGTTAGCAAAACCCACTGACTTTAATTAGGCAGCACATTTGGCAGCTCTGAGGCTGTGTTTGACCTGATTTTCTTGTCAACACCATGTTTTCCCTTTGGAAGCAACTGCATACATTTGAATGGAACACACAGCCTTTGACAAGAGAGTTCCTCCACAAACTCTTAGTGTGAAAATTGGCAATGTCACTAGTGTGCTGATCACTGTTGTTCTTGCTAGAGTGGAAGCTGTGCCTGATGATTGCCTGCATTGTAAGGATCTCCCTGTTTCTTTCATTCTGTGGATTTGTGCTGCCTCTCCTGCTGCTTCTTGAATATTCCCCTTTCAGTCACTTGGGGGGGGGGGGGACAAGCCGGTAATGGGGAAAAGATTTGTTGCAATATAGGAACAACTACTAGTGACTAGTCATTTGTCTTTTTTTATTTATTTATTTCAGGTACTTATATAGCGCCGTCAATTTACGCAGCGCTTTACATATATATTGTACATTCACATCAGTCCCTAACCCTCAAGGGGTGTACAATCTAAGGTCCCTAACTCACATTCATACATACACATATTAGGGCAATTTAGTCAGGATCCAATTCACCTACCATCATGCCTCTGGAGCATGGGAGGAAACCAGAGTACCCGGAGGAAACCCACGCAGGGGCGGACTGACAACTCATGGGGCCCTCGGGCAATAGGGGATCATGGGGCCCCTGTGTCCTTGCCCAAACTCAAAAAAGCCTATGAAAAAGGTACCAGGGGCATCTCATGGGGCCCCCTACTGACCCACCGGCCCTTGGGCAGTGCCCGAGTTTCCAAATGGTCAGTCCGCCCCTGGGCACAGGAGCCAGAACACCAGCATGCAAGGACCGGAGTCTAGGCAGGAGAAAGAACATGCAAACTCCAGGCAGGTGGTGCCTTGGTTGAGATTCGAACCAACGACCCTAGTACTGCCAGGCGGAAGTGCTAACCATTTAGCCACTGTGCTTTTTGAGCAAAGCTTCCACAGCTTAGGTCCAAATCTGTTTATTATGACTGAAAACATGTATGCACTAACTAAATAGTATAAAGGAAAACAAGTAATACAATGGCCACAAATGGAGCAAAAAGGATCATAACAAACAAAATCTTTGTAGCAGATACCTGCTTAGTTCCTGTACATCTATTACTGATGCAGAAAGCATGGAGAAAACTACAATGTACTGATGTTTAATACTCAGGCACGAGACTGATGCTACATATAGGAGTTCATGTATACAGGTATGATAGTAATACAAAAAAAAAAAATAATCCTCACCAGTTTTGTACTAAGAAGTCAACTAAGGGCAGGGAGGTCTGGTCAGCAGTGCGCACTGCAAAGTGGAGAGCGGTTTCACCTGGCTCCTGCAAATCCACAAAACAATTATTTTTAAAAAACAAAATAATAAAATGTCTTCATTCACAACACAAGAAGATCTTTCCCTGAGATGTCAGTTAAAGTGCTCAGAAAGCAGATCACTGTGTTTACTTTCCTTTAGAGACATTCTCATTTCTGTCAAAATCTGTGCACATATGCATTCAATAATGCCCCTTTCACAGGGGCAGACTCCGCTTGCTCTGTGGGGATCTGTCCACTGATCCCCTGCTGAGCAGAGCATAGCGGGTGGATGACAGGTCTGTGTACACTACACTTATACAGAGCAGACATGGACACAGCCCGCTCTGCGGGTGGTTGGATGTAGACTTTACTGTCCATTGACACCCGACTGCCCTCCGACCCAATCCCCTTTTGTTTGTCTCTAGCAGATCGGATCGGGTCGGAGGTAGGCGGGAGTAAGTGGACACAAGTCCATTTACATCCGCGGTTCCATAGAGGAGAATGGAGGATCCAATCAGGTCCGCCTTTCCGGTTGTGGGATAGGGGCCTTAGACTTTGGCTAAATCACCAAACATGTGTGAGCACTTTAGTGCAATAGAATTTAGACAGGATAATCAGACTGTCCCATATGGACAATTGTGGGCAGACAGAGAAATATGCTTTGTTTATGGGCAGCAGATGACCACCAACTACTACCAGCTGTCCAGGGGCAAACTAATGATCAGACACATTGAAATGATTGGCCATCCTCTATTGTATCTACCCTGAAATGAGTCCAATTATGGTGATATCAGTCTGATGTCTGCAAAGATAAGGTGATGAATACTTTTATATAGAGCGTATGCAGAAACGATAGCATAATTAATATATTATTATTGCTTTCTTACCCAACCTTCCACCAATGATATGGTCAGTTCACTTTTAACCACTTCCTGTCCGGCCATTGTATATAAACGGTGCCGGACGGTGGCAGTGAAGGGTCGGGTGGACGTTTATAAACGGCTTTCCCGGCCCCTATTGTGCGTGCTCCCTGGGAGCGCGCAACACCGTGATCCATTCAGTGTCCATTGTTACTAGTGTCCTCCGGTCACAGTGAAACACCGATCGTCGGACAGGACCTCTGTACGAGGTCCCGATCATGTGATCACTGATTGGCCAATCAGTGATCACATGCAAGTAGTAAAAAAGATGTCACTTGTGACAATCACTATTGCTTACTACTACTTTGTGAAAATAATGAAGAGCTCACATGACAAGGCTATTCACAACAGCCTAATAAAAAAAATAATGTGACAAGCTGTGACCAATCACAGCTTACTCAGTAGTTCTCATATGCAAGAATGCAGTCAGAGAGAAGGAGAAATGATTGCTTTTACTGCAGCCTTGATGGGTGCAAAAAAAAAAAAAAAAAAAAAAGCAATCAGCGTAAATTAAAAAAAAAAATACAACTTCATCACCCCCCAAGTCTTATGTAGTACAGTGTCACCATGGTGACACTCTACTGCTAGGGTAACCGTGACATTCTGTAAAAAAATAAATAATAATTCAAAAAAATGAAAACAAAAAATCTAAAAAAAAAAAGTTTAAAAATTATAATTTTTGGTTATAAACTAATTTGGTTTTTTTTTTTTTACTAAAAATATAACGGAATACATTTTGGCCAAGATTTATGATGAAATTATTTATTTGCAAACTTTTATAAGAAAAAAGACTTTTTTTTTTCAAAATTTTTGGACTTTTTAATTTACATAGCAAAAAAAATAAAAATCCCAGTGCTGAATAAATACCACCAAAATAAAGCTTTATCAGTCTCAAAAAAATGCTAAAAATTAATATGGGTACAGTGTTGCATGACCGCGCAATTGTCATTCAAAATGTGATAGCGCTGAAAGCTGAAAATTGGCCTGGACAGGAAGGGGGTAAAAAGTTTGTGGAATTGGAAGTGGTTCCAAAGGATAAGTTCACACCTTTCATAACATGTATTCAGGGTGTAGCATATAACTAATTTAGCAGGCTCCTCCCACTAGGCCGCATGTTTCATTCACAGAGTTTTGTGAATAGATGAACTACAATGAACGTTGGCCATTGTGGCTGACGGCTTGTAGTTCTCAATGAACCAAGAGGGTGCTGATGGAGCGCTCCCTTAGTTCATTGACCTTTCTGGACTTCAGTAACTGCCTGCCCATATGGGCAGACAGCTACAATGACAGTCTGCAGGAGCCTGACATTACACCTGTGATCTGGTGATTGTGGTTGCCATACTTTACAGGCTCCTAAAAAAAAAATTAAATAATAAATGCACAATTTTTTACCTGCCAAATAAAAGTACATTTATTATTTTATTTTACAAAGGTGAACTTAGCTTTTAAGGTAACTTATGACTTTCCCGGTCACCAGCTAATAACAAGTATACTTGCTGCATGTCAATTTTGAAGCCACGGGATCAGCATGACAGCCAGGAAAGCAGCAATTTCAGATGAAGGTCAACAACAGCAGAAGCTGTATTTCTCTCAGTAAAAGTTACTTTCAAGCAATAATAATAAGCATTCTAACAGTACCTGTCCAGATTCTACCAGTGGTTCCATGATCTCTACTCCTTCTGCATAGACTTGAATTAGTGCAAGTAAATCCCTCGATTTCACAGCCTCCAGAAGCTCGCTCAGTTTCTCCGCTCCTGAAGTGCACATTTTCCGGCAGTACTTATGTTCCACATACTTGGCTGTGATGTATTCTTTACGTGCAGTCCTAGGGAGAAAAGACACTAATTAAATAGAGAATGGCAATGATAGTGATTAATGGATTCCATTTAGTAGATCCGAAGAGAAATTTTACACAAAGAATTAGTCACAGTTACATAGTTAGTCTGGCTGAGAAAAGACCAAAGTCCATCAAGTTCAACCATTAAAAAAAAAAAAGTTATAATCCTACACACACAGTTGATCCAGAGGAAGGCAAAAAACCCAACAAAGCATGATCCAATTTGCTCCTGCAGGGAAAAATGTCCTTCCTGATCCCCCGAGAGGCAATCAGATATTCCCTGGATCAACTTTACCTATAAATGTTATATCCAGTTATATTCTGTGTATCCAAGAAATTAATCCAGGACTTTTTTAAAGTAATCCACTGAGCTGGCCAGAACCAACTCTTGGGGGGTCTATTCCACATTTTCACAGCTCTTACTGTGAAGAAACCTTTCCGTGTTTGGAGATTAAATTTCTTTAGTCATTGAGCTGATGGGAAAAATATGATCGTGTCCTATGGGTTTTGAAGCAAATAATAAGAAATTCCTCAAATACGTAACGTGCAAATTAGGACCTCGCATTGGGTTGTTGGGCTTAACCGAACCTACAACTCTGCCTATTCAGGGAAAGTAACAGTTTCTCTCTGCTACTGATAATTACCTCCCCCACACTACCTTACCTGCTGGAGTCTTGAGAAGACTTAGCGTCTGAGCCTTAAAGTGTTACTAAACCCACAACAATAAAATCAGTCTGTATATGCAGTAAAGCATGCTTGTTATACTCACTGTGGAACCTAAGGGGTTAATCCTCTGCATTGTGTAAAAAGGATGTTTGATCCTGATATATCGTGTGGAGGCACTCTGCACATGCCCAGTTTGGTGTGTATTGCAGAGGTTTGTTTTTTTTTCTTTCTTGGGAGAGTACATGTGATCAGCACTGTCCAGACAGGGTCAGGGGTTCTGCATCCTCCTAGGGCAAAATGAAAACTCCTCCTACAAGCTTTACCCAGTGCACGGCTGGACACTGCTAGAAGTCACAAGACTGCTCTAACTGCTGACGAGAAAAGGTATTTCGCAGTTTATATTTACTAAAATAATTGCACTTCCATATTGTGTACTGTGGGAGACCAGATATAGTGAATTTAGGGTCCGGGGAGACCAGATATAGTGAATGCAGGGTCCGGGGAGACCAGATATAGTGAATTCAGGGTCCTGGGAGACCAGATATAGTGAATGCAGGGTCCGGGGAGACCAGATATAGTGAATGCAGGGTCCGGGGAGACCAGATATAGTGAATGCAGGGTCCGGGGAGACTAGATATAGTGAATGCAGGGTCCAGGGAGACCAGATATAGTGAATGCAGGGTCCGGGGAGACCAGATATAGTGACTGCAGGGTCCTGGGAGACCAGATATAGTGAATGCAGGGTCCGGGGAGACCAGATATAGTGAATGCAGGGTCCGGGGAGACCAGATATAGTGAATGCAGGGTCCGGGGAGACCAGATATAGTGAATGCAGGGTCCGGGGAGACCAGATATAGTGAATGCAGGGTCCTGGGAGACCAGATATAGTGAATGCAGGGTCCTGGGAGAGCAGATATAGTGAATGCAGGGTTCGGGGAGACCAGATATAGTGAATGCAGGGTCTATAGTGAATGCAGGGTTCGGGGAGACCAGATATAGTGACTGCAGGGTTCGGGGAGACCAGATATAGTGACTGCAGGGTCCGGGGAGACCAGATATAGTGAATTCAGGGTCCTGGGAGAGCAGATATAGTGAATGCAGGGTCCGGGGAGACAAGATATAGTGAATGCAGGGTCCGGGGAGACCAAATATAGAGAAAGCAGGGTCCGGGGAGACCAAATATAGAGAAAGCAGGGTCCGGGGAGACCAAATATAGAGAAAGCAGAGTCCGGTGAGACCAGATATAGTGAATGCAGGGTGCTGGGAGACCAGATATAGTGAATATAGTGAATGCAGGGTCCGTGGAGACCAGATATAGTGAATGCAGGGTCCGGGGAGACCGGATATAGTGAATGCAGGGTCCGGGGAGACCGGATATAGTGAATGCAGGGTCCTGGGTTTAGTAACACTTTATGACCAGCCCCCCATGCATTGCTTGGGCCTAATAGCTGGACTGCATCTTGGGAGGATGGAGCAAGGATCACATCTCCTCCTATACTTGGAAGTACTGGATATTTTACAGGGCACCAGGTGGAGAATGGCGCAGTGTGAGGACGGTGAGTACCTACAACAAAGGGGGCAGGTTATCAATTGAACTTCTAACTTTGCAGAGAAGTGACAGGTTTACTTTGTTATGCCCACAAATCAAGCAGGATGGATAAACGTGTAAGTATCAATCTCAACAGTCCCGTGCAAATACACAAAGGCTCAGATTGACCTGCTATTAGTGATATCACTTTTTCCTAGTAAACTGGTGGGCTCGGTTTACTTTGGCTCAGAGCACATAGTGGCTGCCTTTATAGTATCAAGGCAGAATAACTTCCAACTTTTTTTTTTTTTTTTTTATTACTTACATATCACTGGAAGGAGTAGGTTTTGGTGATGGAGTGGGTAAATTCCCTTCCATTATTTCATTGAAGCTATTGTTTCCTACATTCTTGGCCAGCTGTAATAAGAAAAAAAAAGTGTGAACATATATAGAACCCAAGGTTGTTTAAAGTCTTCGTTCATTCAAGACTAAAAGCTGAGTTTTGTGTGGACACACCGGTGGACTTTAACCACCACTGCTAATGCTTTAGATTTTAATAGGTCTCAGTTTTGGCTCCCAAATCAGATTTTGGGCTCAGATTTTAGAGAACAGAGATTTATACTGCTGATCTACCTGCATACTTGTTGGGACTTCTGTCCCGTCCATGCTATTTGATGAGGTAAAGTTAGAGGCGCACTGAACTCACTGGTACCGCTGTCACAGGTTTACTGTACATGGGAGTCATATTTTCTCTGAATTAGCATTAGAGCTCATCAATTAGTAGTGAAATGGACAATGCACAGATCCAGATCTCCCAATTTTAGAGCAACAGCTACCTCAAACCCACAAGGACCACAGTTGCTCGCTCTGATCTGCTCTCATTTCTTTAGCACCAGTTGAGGTCCCTAGACAATCACAGCATCAAGGGGGTGTTGCTATTGCCTGTAAGTCGACTCTGCAAATGTGTGATGATCTATCGGCTAAGGTTGCATCTTTCCCACAAGAGTTCTGCATCTAAAAGCACCAATAAAAACAAAGTAAATGCTCCGGAACCAAACGTCACTCAAACCGGAAAGCAGCTGTATGCCACCGACGCCTGACCTGGTGCCAATATGTTTTATTTTAGACTGTCAAAAGCATGAAGTATTGCAGATATCCAAAAAGTAACTAACTAAACCCATAAAGGTTTCTATCATACAACTCCCCTTGCATAGCCACAACAGGCTGAGTTTGGCTTTCCAGCTGAGCTTTTACTGTCCCATGATGAATCCACTAGATGTCAAAGTATACTCACCAAGAGTTCAGAAGTGCCTAATTTGTCTAATTCCAGAGACTGGATTCTAGAGATGTGGACGCCCATTTCCCTATGAATGCCGGAGCATTCTATACAAGTTAAAATCCCCAAGTTAGTGGACAGCCATGTTGGATCTGTAAAGATTAAAAAAAAAAGGAGAGTTAAAATAGGCTAAAACAGAGAACAAGGAAAAAGTAAAGAATAAGTAACTACATCACTTCCATTCCACAAAGTCTCAAAGTAATCTTCCATTGGCCTACCTACAGTATGCACTCACTGGCTACTTTATTAGGTACACCTGTTCAATTGCTTGGTAACACAAACTGCTAATCAGCCAATCACATGGCAGCAACTCAATGCCTTTAGGTATGTAGACGTGAAGAAGACAACTTGCTGAAGTTAAAACTGAGCGTCAAAATGAGGAAGAAAGGGGATTTAAGTGACTTTGAACGTGGCATGGTTGTTGGTGTCAGACTGGCTGGTCTGAGTATTTCAAAAACTGCTGATCTACTGGGATTTTCACACACAACCATCTCTAGGGTTTACAGAAGAAATATCCAGTGAGCGGCAGTTGTGTGGATGAAAATGCCTTGTTGATGTCAGAGGTGAATGAGTAGACTGGTTGCTGTGACATTCAGATGGAAGGGTCAGAATTTGGAGTAAACAACATGAAAGCATGGATCCATCCTGCCTTGTACCAACGGTTCAGGCTGGTGGTGGTGTGATGGTGTGGGAGATATTTTCTTGACACTAGTAAGATGTACCTAATAAAGTGGCCGGTGAGTGTATATTACTCTGTGTTCTGAGATATGTCCCACAGTGAATCTGATTTATTTGGATGGGACAGGAACAAGACAATGCACCAAAGACTTTTGCTTGCAAAAAAGGCAACAAAATGCATGGCAATATGCCTGGTGTGCATGAGTTCAAGTCCCTTGATTTGTCTGTGACCTTATTATGTTTTTCCCACACCTGACAGCTACACCTCTTCCCCAAACCAACCCCACTCCCTGGTCGTTATATAGACAGATTTGTAAGCTCCCAGGATCAGGCCCTTCTAACCCTCTTGTATTGAACTGTATTGTTGCTGTATTGTCTCCCGTTATATTGTAAAGCACTGAGCAAACTGTTGGCGCGATATAAATCCTGTGTAATAATAATATAAATCCTGTATAATAATAATAATAATATAAATCCTGTATAATAATAATAATAATATAAATCCTGTATAATAATAATATAAATCCTGTATAATATAAAACCTGTATAATAATAATAATAAAAACCTGTATAATAATAATAATATAAATCCTGTATAATAATATTAATATAAATCCTTATTATTATTATTAATAATAATAATAATAATAATAATATGGGACTTAATTTATGAGACATTCTCTCTACATCTATGACAATGTTGTAACATATGGTATTTATATTCATTGTTGGCATCCATTATGACAAATCTTTTCATGGTTTCATGTTCTAAACTGCTTTACTTCTTCTATGGCTCTGTCCTATTACCTAAACTGTTGTTAAAAAAAATCAATAAATACTTACTGACTACTGACAGCAGCAAATATTAAGAGACACAAAAAAAAAAAAACCTATGCTGAATCTCTACCATTTTCATTGCCAAGTGTGGCCAATGGGTCCACATATCAGGAATATATTCTTACCATTATCATGCTCCACTGCTGCTCCTGAAAATCGTATGCAAACAGTAACTTTCTGAAGGTCTAAGGCTCAGTTTACACTAGCTATGTCAGCAGTCGTCAGACAGGATTTCAAGCGTTTTTTTACGCTTCTCAAATGCCTATGAAAATTCTGCACATGGAAGCACACAGTGCTGTTCACACTGAAGAGTTAGCATCGCAGCAAAACTATCGCCTTGTGTCGAGTCATGAGAAGTTGAAGCCTCCCATTCAAGTCTATAGTGCCGCTCCGCATTTTGAGACATTTGTGAAGCGTTAATACCATTTAACTTTATTATAGGCGTCTGTGGTGCGGTTTTAACGCTTGGCAAGCACCTCTCAACCACTTCAAAACCGCGCATGGGGCGTTTGGGGAGCGTTAAAAACGCTTCTCAAACGCCTGTCTAATGCCTGTCAAGCGTTATAGGGGCGTTTGGCAAGAGTTAGAAATAAAGTCAAGTGTGAATGAGCCCTAACGCCTACATACTACTTTAAAAGGAACGTATAGCAGCGTTACATACACAGTACTGATTTACTTATGATCAGGAAAATAATTAACATTTCTGAAAACAGGCTTTTCTTTTTTGAGAAGTGGATTAGGAACATTGTCAATGAACTCTTCATGTTTACTTACAGCCTCTTATAGTCTACAGGTGGTGATAGCGAGGATAACAATCTACTAATGCAGGTTTTAAAAAGGTTCATTTACCAATAAGTTGTGAAAAGGCTGAATGTGTTCTGATTAGACTTGAATAGCACAACATCAGTCACAGTGAAATGAATCAAACAAAAGGCACCCCTCCCTCCTTCTCTGCAACCAGGCATCGCGTTTTGTGTGGGGATCTTAAGAAGATATACACAGGCGTACCTCGGTTTACGGACGCCTTGGCTAACGTCATTTTCGGTTTACGAATGAAAATTCATTGAAAATAATGCCTCGGTTTACAAATTTTTTTCGCAATATGAATTAAGTTTCCCCAGGATGCATTGCGCCTGGGAGGTTTATAGCACCGGCCCCGTGCCTTAGTGCACTTTATAAAGAGGTTTGAACAGATAAGACTTTTTCAGAATTTTTTCTGACCTCCGGAACGGATTAATTGGTTTTCAATGCATTTATGATTTTTTTTTTTTAATGATGTCCCTGTACAGTATTTATGCCTTTAAAGTGCACTTTATAAAGAGTTTTGAACAGATAAAAGACTTTTTTTTAAAAACTTTTTTTCTGACCTCTGAAACAGATTAATTGGATTTCAATGCATTTTCAACGCGTTTCGGTTTACACATTTTTTCGCAATACGAAACGTCCCGGAGAAACGCATTAAATTTATAAACCGAAGTATGCCTGTACATGCACAGTCAAGAGTTGCATTTGTTTATTAACATATTAAAACTGTATGGTGGAAGCACCCTGTGCAAAGTGCCAGTTCACACAGGAACGCAGTGCGTAAAACCTGCCTTCCATGCGCATTTCCTTAACGACACCCCAAATGCAGGTTTTTCCTGCACCGGATCACATGGTACAGCGGTACCATGTGATTCCATTGCTGTGCATTTTTTAAAAGTACTGCATGCACGTGTTTTGGTGCGCTCCAGCATGATTTTACCTCATTCAAATGAATGGGCTGAAATCACATTGCACCCGGATCACATGTGAATGGCACAGGAACGCACAGTGTGTTCCTGTGAGATTCATGGTATGAACCGGCCCTAAATATTAAGCTGTAACGAGCAGGGTCCTCTTGTGCCAAATTATATTGTAACTGTAATGTCTACCTTCATTTTGTAAAGCGCTGCGCAAACTGTTGGCGCTATATAAATCCTGTATAATAATAAAAAATATTTACTTCTACAATATAGAATTTATACAAATAATCAATTAAACAAAACATGTATTTTTAGGCATTTAAACAAAATCTAATGTGGAACTCCTTAGGCCACTTGCACACTGTAGCTTGAAAAAGCTCAGTGCAGCATTGTTTTTTTTACTGATCTAAAATGCAGCCCATTGTTTACAATGTGCCAGTACACACAGATGTGTAAACAAGCGCAGCGTAGTCTTGAGTTAAAAAAAAAAAAAAGATTGAAAAATTTGCATTCTTGGTCAGTAATTTGCGCTGGTGCGAGCAATTACACGCAAATACGCATATTAATGGATTTTGCCTGCAACTATATTGTGCGTGAGAACCATCATGACTGCAAATACGCACAAAAATACGTGTGAATAAGTGCAAAACAAATGACTGAAATTACATCCAGAAATGCTGAAGCTTAAACATCAGTACTGTGTGCAAAAGGCCATAGCAGCAAAAGTAAATCATGATAGCCTCCCACATACACCCTAGATCAGGGGTGGGCAAACTTTTTGACTTGAGGGCCGCAATGGGTTCATATATTGGACCCGGGGGCCGAACCAAGAGTAGATGAATGATGTGTATGTAATTCATCCCCCATATAGTAATTCATCCCCCATATAGTAATTCATCCCCCATATAGTAATTCATCCCCCATAGTAATTCATCCCCCATAGTAATTCATCCCCCATATAGTAATTCATCCCCCATATAGTAATTCATTCCCCATATAGTAATTCATCCCCCATATAGTAATTCATCCCCCATATAATAATTCATCCCCCCTATAGTAATTCATTCCCCATATAGTAATTCATCCCCCATAGTAATTCATCCCCATATAGTAATTCATTCCCCATATTAATTCATCCCCCATATTAAGTCCCCAAGTCTCCACTGTGTCAATTTACTTACCTTTGCTCCGCGCGTTCCTCTCGCCGTGTTCCCGCGCCGTTCCGGTCTTCAGGGCGGACTGTGAGAGGAGCCTAGCTCCCCTCCTCTCACGTTCGTCACGCTGCCCCGCCTACACACATCCTGACAGCCATCCTGACAGTATTACGCTCCGTGGACCGGATTAAAAGGTCCGCCGGGCCGTATACGGCCCGCGGGCCGTAGTTTGCCCATTGCTGCCCTAGATACAGGATATACAGTTTGTTTAGTCAAGGGCAGCCTTACCAGAGTGTATTATTGACCTTACTCCATGGTCCCACAGGATTCTTCCCTGCTGGACGATCAACCCCCTGAAGCAGTTCCTTTTCTCGGGTTGTGTGGCTGTCCCCCTTACCAATATTATCATTTATAATGAAAGCAGCTAAATGAGGGCCTGCCCATGGGACAGGTGAGGATAAGATGAGGTGTAAGGTCAGAATTATGCTGCCTTTGACACAGTCGACCACCCGCTGCTCCTCAGTAAACTCCACTCCATCGGCCTCCGTGACTCTGCTCTGTCCTGGTTCTCCTCTTATCTTTCTCAGTGTCACATACAACTCCTCCTCCGCTCCCTCTTTCTGTTGGGGTACCCCAAGGTTCTGTCCTTGGGCCCCTCCTTTTCTCTCTCTATACCTCCTCCCTGGGCCAACTGATAAC